CATGTTGCTGCTGATCTGTTTCATGTTGCTGCTGATCTGTTTCATGTTGCTGCTGATCTGTTCCATGTTGCTGCTGATCTGTTTCATGTTGCTGCTGATCTGTTTCATGTTGGTGTGTTCATTCGTGCTCATCTGCTCACACAGACTCATGTTCGTGCTGCAGTTCAACTTAAGTTTTTATGCTACTAGTGCTTAGTGTATATTTAGTTGATGTTTTTCTTAGTTCACATCTTAGATCTTATTACTGTTTTTATTTTACATTTTATTGTTGGATGTAACTGGGACCCTGTGTACATAATCTCGTTCCACCACATGTACCACATGAGATGCGAACAACAATAAAGAATCTCTGACTCTGATTTATTTTTTCAAGTTATCATGCTCACAACATGCACGGACGGATGAAGGCCATTTCCAAGTTTCCCTTTTTGCTCCATGTTGGGGGACCATAAACGTGGTGGTGGTAAAACCAGTAGTCCTTACTGATGCACGGAGCGATGGGGGAGCGGCTCTGCTGGTAGCCCTTGGCACAGCGGTTGCAGGTGATCCCGGCCACTCCATCCTTGCAGGGGCACTGGCCCGTGGTCTGGTTGCACGTCTTCCCCGCTGCTCCGACTGGATGGCAGTCGCACGCTGCGGAGGGACAGGAGAAAACAGTCAGAGGAACGACATACACAAGTAAACAAGCTCTGAGTGGGGAAAATGAGCGGAGAACAAAACCAGAGCACAACAAAGATCAGGTTACAAATGAGTGCAGTGTGTGCAGACTGATGCAGTTCTGACATCTTCCATAGAAGTAAAGTCAGTGCTCATGAAAAGTCCTTTACTTTAAAGCAAGCCGTGCTTTTCTTTCCTTTATATCGCAGATGAATAACCGGGCCCGACACCAATTTAAAACCTCAATCAAATTAGCCTCCGCTCCTCCACCCATTCTGACTGAGCGTCGCTTTATTAGGCCCACTCTGGAAGGCACGCAGAAGAAGTAAATAACTCGATAAATTACAGAATTACACTTTCACCACAAATTGTATCTGGGCGTGTGCACGCGGCTTCGCCAGATTGTTTTGTATATTCCACCCCTTCACGATCCGACAGGCTGATTCAGATTCATTTTCCAACAAGGAGGCTCTTTTTTTTTTTTTTTTTTGGCAAATATCTGCTTGCAAATAGTTCCTGAATAATGTTTCCCATTAATGGATGAGTGGAGCACACTTCAAAGTCAGTTTGAGGCTGTTCGTTGGGAGGATCACATGGTAAATGTGAGGAATTTCTTTTTTTTTTTTGGTATGTGTGCGTTCTGCCAGGTTTTTATCGTAAAGCCGGTGTTTGAAGTTGAAGTCCAGCCTTCCTGCTAGCCCTGCATGTGTTCTAGGAGCAGAAGAGTCATCTGAAATGTGCTTGAAGTGCTCCAGTAGACGCTTTCTGCTGCAACGCCTTCATGAACATCATGAAATGCTTTTTAAATCATGTTTGCAGGAACATCAAACCTCTTTGCTCACACTTTCTCTGACTAGTGTAGTAGAAACTTGATTAAGTGCTATGTGTTTAACTTTAAAATTACATTACACAAGTAAACTTTTGATGAAAAGAAGTGTTTCGTTTTCCTCTTAGCACCACTTTAGGTATGTTGGAACGTAACAATGAAATCTTTGCGTCAATACATTTTTACTGCAGATGTCACATTTAATCACAGGTTATAAACAAACTCTGAATGTAGCCTCCAGGTCTGAAAAGTGAAGCCAATAAACAAGTGTTTTAAAACAACATTTAAAAAATAAGGGACAGACGTCGTTTTATTTCCAGAGGACCATATTGACTTAGATAAACAAAAAGTAGAAACACACAAAGCTTGTAACAAAGTTTCCCGTGGCAGCTGTGATACGAGACACATTCAGGGTATTGTCTTCTTTAATATGAGTTAGCATAGTTGCTGATCAAATGATATGAATTAGAGAACTATTTTCTGTACTAATTAGATACACGCTTGTGGTTGTGTGTGTGTGCGTGAACTTTGACAGTAGTAAACTGTCTTCCTCTGTACTGAAGTTTGTCTTGCTCAGGTCACTCTCAAAATTATTAGTTTTCTTTATCTCATTGAGGGTTTTTCCTGGGTAAAAAAAAATGGTTAAAAAATTTTGAATAACATTTTCTAAATAATTCAAAGTATGCAATTTCAAGCTTAGGTTCTGATCTGTGACCTCAATGGGATTTGCCTGGTTAAATAATGGTTAATAAATAATAAATACACTACCCTTACACACAAAAAACACCTAAATTTAGCAAGTTGTTGAGGCTACTGTTTAATATACAATATTATTTTACATTTTTAGTGTTTAGTGTACATCTTAGGGCTGGACAATAATTTGATATCAATATATTTTATTCAATAACGGTGATATAAGTTTTAAGCACATTTTCATTATATGCATATTCATTATGATTACAGCAATTCACTGACGCATTTGAAGCGGCCGCTTCAACACGAACAGAAAAAGCAGCGACACAACTACGTAAGTGCGTGGCGACGTCATACACCACACACACAGCTCGAGTCCGGAAGGAGTCAACAGTAGCAGGTTAGGCTAATCTCCAACGCACGGTAAGTTTTCGCTTCAAAATGAGTGCCCATGACCGTCAGAATGTGACTGAACAAGGTTCCACAAGCGAAGAGAAAGAAGATGACATAACTGATAAGAGAGGAACAACTAATTCGGCGGTGTGGAAGTAGTTCGGCTTTCTAAGATCTGATAAACTGCAGGTTTCAGTCAGTGACCTGCAAAATGTGATGGAGAGTCGTTCCAACTAGCGGTGGGAGCATTAACTTGTTCCACTCGATAGAAGATGCTGAGAAGTCAGAAGATGAAGCACAATAAAAGTCTGAGCCAACGTGTCCCTGAAACACCCCCAGCTGTATCAAAAGAGAAACCCATGCAGCAAACGCAGACATTTGCTGCATGGGTTAGGTTACGTTTAAAGTTAAAACTATTAATACTGACAAAGTTGAGAGTTTTATGTTTATTTGACGGTGGTTTCAAAATTTTTTGAAGGCAAAATACAAATAAAAGGTGAACATTAATTTATTTGTACAGTTTCTACAGTTTTTTCTGAGGCTTTTATATTGTTTATATCGATATCGGAATTATATCGTTATCGACCGAAATTAAGAAATATATCGTGATAAAAGTTGTGGCCATATCGTCCAGCCCTGGTACATCTTAGATGTTTTAGCATATTGTTTAGGGTTCATTTAGCGTATGTCTTAATGTATCTTACATCCTTATATACCATTTCTTTTTATACTTTATATTTTTGCTATTTTTGGATGTAACTTGGACCTTGAGTACACAATTTTGTTCCACCTCATGTACCACATTTTATGCGAATGAAAATAAAGAAACTTCAACTTGGAAGTTTTTCAGCATGATTACATAAATATAGTGAAAATGTTCCAAAATGGCACGGGAAACATGCAAATCATGTTGTTTCACATGTTACCTTAATGTGTATTTACAGGTAAAATGTGATTTCTACATATGAATATTCACAATATGTATTTTTTGTTGTTTCAAATCCACACTGGAAACATAACGTCATATGGTAATTGTTTTCGCATGTGATTTCCATAGGTGAAGTTGTGTGTGTGTGTGTGTGGGGGGGGGGGGGGGGTCCCAGTGGCATAGCAGTCTATTTATATTATTTCTATATGTACACAGAAACCACAACAATGAAGCTGTTTATTCAATTATTTCTGCATCTGTCTCACGGCTGTCACAAATTAAACTAACCATCTGCTGAAATGATTCATAAATGTTGTTTCTTGACATTTTAATACGTTGGTAATGTGGACGTCCTCGTGACCTACAAGCACAGTTTGGATAATATAGAGTTTCTGTTAGAATAATGTAGACGTAAACAGAGAAATAAAACATCTGTTTAAAGAAATTTGCAGAGCGGTGCAGACGGGGCCTCAGTCTGGTTTTTATCAGCACAAACACTGACCAGTCGTGTTTGTAGACGCTTTGTGTTTTCAGACTTAAAGGTCCAAGACATCGGTTCCCAAAGCTGGAGCTGGAATCACTATATGGGTCATAAATCAGCAGGCTTGGGTTCTTAAAATAATATTTAGAATTTAAAATAACTTTCTAATGAGTTGCTAGTTGCACATTATTATCATAATTGTGAAAAAGGACTAATAGTACTCGCAAATTAATTTAAGGAATAGTATAATAGTTGAGGCTGTTTCTGTGAACATGATGTATTTAATGATGGTAAGTACATTTCAAACAAAGTATCTATAGTTTAGCTAATATTAGTCAGGGTCCAAGTCAAGTTTTGTGGGCAAAATCGTAAAATGTAAGAACAACTGGTTTAAGACAGAAGGATGTTAAGAAGGATGAACAGGAACGATCCCAATATCAGCATCCAATCTGAAAGCGCAAAAGAAATCACTTTTCTCACAGGTTTTTCCATAAAAGAAGCCATTTACCAACCATTTGCCTTTCTCTAGAAAATCATTCTGAAACAAAAAATAATAATAAATTGATGCCAAGAATGTTTCCATTAATGATCGGTCGTCAGCCTCGAAATGTCAGTTTTATTGTTTGAACAGAATGTGGTACAAATTGATTTGGTGCAGCGCAGGGAGTCTGCAGGTCTGGTTGCAGAGGGGTTTGGGGACAGCAGTGAACCATTTACCAGCTCCAGCTCTGCGGACTCACCCACGGCTGAAACTGCCAAATGTGAGAGCGGTTATGGGACGGGGGAAAAAGAAAAAGAGCAGTCCGTTAGAAGTGGGAGGCGAGCTCTGTGAGGCGTGTTTACACTGTGGTTGATGAGGGGTGAAGTTGTTAATCTGGGAATTAAAGCGTGAGGCATTCCACATTGCCACAGGAGACGTTTTCACTGCATGCAGTGGAATTCTCTTCTCCTTGTTTTAACCCTCCGACTATTACAACCGTTCAGAGGACCTTTGCTGAGATGTGAAGTGTTTGGGGCGGGGAAGGACTTGGGGATGAATGCAGGTTTCCTCCTGGCTGTGTTGGCACTGCTTTGTGTTTCCTGTCCAACAACAGCAGAGTGAGATGGTCGGCTGATTTGAGCAATAAATACAGCGGCTTGTAACTGATGTCACACCGGAACATTTGTGTCACTCAGAAGAACGATGGCAATCAGACTGTTTGGTTTTGATCCCAGAGCAAAGAAGGAGGAATGTGAGAGATGGAGCAAGGTGTTCAGGTTACGGATCTGCCTGTTTGGAAAGACTTACTGGTACTAGAGGTGTAAGGCTACGGCTGCAAGTAGAGTAACTAACCTGGTTTGAAGCTCCCAGCACTGGAATATTTAGAACAACAAAATATAGACATTTAAAATGAGTCAACGTTGCTGCACAAACATTTCATCGTGTTTTAGGCTGAGTGCAGATGATCTTTAAAACTTGAGTTTTAACGCTGCCACATGTAGCAAATAACACAAAGGGCTTTGTTTGACAGTGATCTCTGACACGACATTTGATTTTCTGTTCCTTCCATGCAAGTCGAAGAAATCAGGATTAAAGTATGAGGACTGCTGTGGTGGCACACAGCCATGAACTTCAGGTGGCTATTTTTACCTTTTCTGGGCTGCCAATTCAAGTCGCCACCAGGAAAGGGGGGGCAATTTTTTAGGGGGTGCTATGGCCCCCAGATAAAAGTTAGTTTTAATTTTCAGCCATTATATCGGTTATCGGCAGCCACCTTCGCCTCCCAATATTGATATTGGCAATAGCCAAAATTTCCACATGGGCCGGGCTCTAATGGTTACAGCGCCACATGAAGTGCTGTAATTGTTACGACAGTCTTTGTGTCATATTCTGTGTGGAAGAAGACGTATCAGGAAACAGTACCAAGTTTACAGGGATATTTCTAAAATGACAAGTAAAAAGACTGGACAAAACTGTGTTTCCGTGTAGACAAGGGTTTTTTTCCAGACATTTCTGGTTTAACACTTAACTGCCATAAGTGCATCAGACTAAAGGCTCCCACATACTCGGACGTACTGTGTGTACTCGGTGAGCCACGCGGACACTGCAGACAGTTGAGACTTCATACTCGAGCAAACACCCTGATGGGCTGCAGCCCAGCTCTGCAGGCAAGGGGCGTTTACCTTCAGGACAAATTGATGTCGCCAATTGGTCATTTGCTGACACGCTACTGGACTGATTGACAGGTCGGAAAAAAACAAGAACAACAAAAAACGAGCTGTCAGCGGCCCTGGGTAGAGGCAGTGGTGTTCTGTGTTAACCTTGCTAATAAAAAGTTCTAAAAAAAAATTAAAAATAGGGAGCGCTGGCCCTGCAGCCCACACATCAGACCGGCTCACCAGAAAATCTCCAGTCCCTCCCACAGCCACGCTGGACCTGGTTTTAATTCTCTCGTGACAAATTCCTTCATTTATCACCATTTCAGTCATGGCGTCAACGGACGAGGAGGAAGAGATCACTTGCCTCTTGGCAAAAAACAAAAGAAAAGTCCATTAAACCAGACCAGGGGCGAAGAAGGGAATTTAATACATTGGTGTCGCAACAAAACAGTCCGTCACCGGGCAGTTTATTGTGTGACACAGAGTACACGTACGTTGTTGTAAAATTTGATCTTTGTGCGGACATGGCTTGTGGACGTCCGCTTCGAGACCGCGTTGAGTCTGCCTCGGGTACACACGGACCTCTGCATAGTGAAGTACGCCCGAGTATGTGGCGGCCTTAAGGCTGAATCCCATTTCACCTTTTCTCCCTACCCCTTAACTCTACTCCTACAATTTGTACGTTTAACTCATTTTTAAATGGGATCTAAGAGGTCTGCAGCCAATAAGAAAATAACAGCTAAGGAAAAAAAAGACATTTTAACTATATTACCTAAATGTATTACTAGAATCAAGCATTTTTTTACATCAGAAATTATTTAACTGTGTATACTTAGCTTTTTGTTGTTTACATGACTCCCACAGACTAGGATGGGTGTATAGAAAGAAATATTTACAAGTGTTTCGTGCATTTTCCAGTAAAGCAGAGTGACAGCAGTTTGTTTGCTCTTTACTCCAGAGGAGCTTCAGCGCAGAAGGAGCTCAGCTTTTGCTTCCCTGCATATTAATCCTCAGCAGCTTAGTCTCAAACCTGCTGTGTGTGCGTTTGGCCTTTTCTGCGTATTGTACAAACAGAAGAGACTGGCACTGAATGAGATGTTTCCACTGATCTGCTCACACCTCTGCACGGATTGTGATGCTCGCCTTGTGAAGTATTCTCCCAGTTCCTCAAACGCCTCAGGAACTGCACGGGTCAGTTCACCGACACCAAGGCAGGTGAACAACTTTACTCAAATGTTTCTAAAGGGTTCTTTATTACCAGAGTCCAACGAACAGTTTGGAAGGCTCTAGGGTTTCCTTTTCTGTTTGTCAAGAACAAACGGTCATCAGTGGTTCTGGTTGTTTACTGGTTAGTTAGAAAGATCTCCAAACGGGACAAGAATTCAGCCATTACTCAGTCTAGTCTGCCTGTTTAAAACAAAGTCCACCTTTACACGAGGACTTGGCGTATCCCCTGAAAATAAGAGTGTAACAGATACTAATGATCCCCACATAATAACTGAAGAAAACAGGCTCTTGCAGGCTGACTTTGTTCATGCATATGCAGGCCTTCATCCCATCGGTTACCTTTGCAAGCTCTGCGGTGTGAAATAGACTTGGTCAAGTCCCTGTAGTACCCCTCCTTGCAGTAGTGGCAGTGGCGTCCTGCTGTGTTGTGACGACAGTTGAGGCAGACCCCACCACTCCTGCGGCCTGACAGCTTGTACAGTTCCATGTTGAAACGGCAGCGACGGGCGTGCAGGTTACAGTGACAGGCTGAATGGACAGAGAGAGAAGGACATTTGACACTTGTTGGGTGTTTCAGCTAAGACAGCATGACATGGTCAGCATGAAATCAGTAACTTTAAGCTGGTAACTGATTATTATTTACAAAGTGATTTTATGTTTTAAAATAACCTCTGGACACTTTGAAAGACTACAACCGTGTGGGATTTAATTCACTTATTGTTTTAGTTACAGTAGTCCCTCGCTACTTTGCGGTTCGTTTATCGTGGACTCACTCCGCTTTTTTTTTTTTTTAAATAAGAGTGGACATGACACACAATTGACTGATTGATGAATGAGCCGCACGATCGTCATGGAATTTTTATTTAAAATAAATTATTTTAAATTATTTAGCACCTGCTGTACATTTGTGCAGCCCAGACTGCAGAATAAACTTCCTGCTGCAGCTGATCAGCTGTTCACCGTGCAGAGTGGAGAAGTGGGCGTGGCCAAGAGCACTTGCAGGTGGCAAAGAGCAGACAAGACAGAGCATTGAAATCATGACATTCTGTGCTCTTTTAGAGTTTGGAAACATTGCTTAGAATATTGCAAGAGTGTGGGAAGGGTTTAAAATAGGGATGCACAATATTATTGGCATGGTATCGGCTGATATTAGCGTTAAAAGTTCAATATCGGACGTCGGCCATTCGATTAAAATAACTCACTGGTTTAAAAGGCACTGTTTTGTATGAAAACCCAGTGACAAGGATGCCTGCAGCGGCAGCACAACGTGATTACGTCACGTGTGCCTACCTGATCTCACGATGGAGAGGAAAATTCAAAATGTCGGCGGTGTGGACGTTTTTTTTCCGTTGGTGAGGATGTCGGATTCCAAAGATTTTTGGACTACATTGAGCCTCGCTACATCGTCCCCAATATATTTACGCCGTAACCTTATCCTAGTTACAAGCCGTCATATCCGACGTCATTG